TATTGATCGTAGGGAATTGGTTCGTGCTCTAGTTTCCCTGAATTCAAACCCTGAATACCTTCCACATCCCCCCCCCCACAGTGCTGTAGAATCATACGAGTTTAGCACTCCCTGTGATTATAATTAATAATATATCTGAATTGTTAAAATTGTTAAATTGTTTTAAAATAGCGCCCCAAAACACCTTCATTATTTATACCCAGCCCTTCCCTAGTAGAAGGGAGTAAGAAAAGAGTCAGTTCTGTAGTTTGTTCCTGTACTTCTCATGGGTACCTCATGGAGAGGCTGTAGTTCCTGTCTTCCTCATGGGTACCTCATGGAGAGGCTGTAGTTCCTGTCTTCCTCATGGGTACCTCATGGAGAGGCTGTAGTTCCTGTCCTTCCTCATTGGGTACCTCATGGTGAGCGCTTAGTTGTTCCTGTCTCCTCATGGGTACCTCATGGAGGGGTGGACGGCTGTGTTCCTGTCTTCCTCATTGTGTACCTCATGGAGAGGCTTGTAGTTCCTGTCTTCTCTTGGTATCCTACATGGAGAGGCTTGTGTTCCTGTACTTACCTCACATGGGTACTCATGGAGAGGCGGTGTTGTTAGTTCTGTTCTTCCTCATGGGTACCTCATGGAGGAGAGGCTTGTAGTTACACTGTCTTCCTCATGGGTTCCTCATGAGGGAGAGGCTGTAGTTACTGTCTTCTATTGGGTACTCATGGAGAGAGACGGCTTGTTGTAGTTCCTGTATTCCTCCATGGGTACCTCATGGGTGGCTTTTCTGTCGTAGTTTCCTGTCTTCCTCTTTGGTACTATGGAACGAGGCTGTTCAGTTCCTGTACTTCCTAATGGGCGGTACCTCAGGGAGCACGACGGCTGTAGTTCCTGTCTTCCTCATGGTTACCTACACTGGAGTGGGGCTGCCTTGTTCCAGTCCATGAGAATTATAAGGCTACAGTTCTGTTAGAATATTCTGCTGGAATGCTCACTTTATCAGCCATTTTTATTATAATTAAGGGGTAGCGCTAAACCGTAGGGATTATACTTCACCTTCCATTCTGACTGGACAGATCTCTCCTTTAACCAGACTCTCCTCATACTTTTTGGACACCAACTAATTTACAGTAGACCCCCGGTGGTGGTTTATCCGAACTTTTTTCATTCACAGGTAGCATGTTCAGGTGCCAAGTAATTGACCGAAGAATCTTTTTCCCCTTAAGGAAATATTGTGAATGAAGTAGATTAGTCCATTTTTCAGACCCCCCTAACATACCACTAAAAACGCACCTTACATAAATACACTTACATAATGGTCGCTTTTGGCGAGGTGATCGTTAATGCGGGGGGGGTCCCACTGTACTGCACAAAAACTATGTTGATGATGCCCACTCTAATTAATAGTACACAGCCTTCTCTAACTCAAGTTTCTCTCCACCGCAAGGCAGGTCTTCTTGATGATTGGTGAGGGCCGAGGCTCTCTTGATTTAGGATTGGATCTGCTGCTCCCAGTTCCCGCATA